CGGCCAGCCGCGCGCGCTTCAGCTTCAGCTGGGTGGCCTGCAAGGAGGGCTCCGCCAGCGTCTCTGTCCGCCAGCGAAGAGCGGGTGAGTGCCTGTGCCGCGTGCAGCCCCCGGACGGCCGGGCGGCCCCGGGCTGTCTCGGGGCCTCGCAGGCGGCTGCCGAGGACCGGAGATCTTTCTCCGCCGAGACACGCCTCGCGCGCGCTTTCTCGCTTTTCTACGGACATAACCTTTCAGTTCCTCTTGTCCCACAACAACGGCAACGGCTCAGCGCGACTTTGCCAGGTCAGCACGTGCCACCCAGTCAGCGCCGCCTCAACACACCCCCGCCCCTTCCACCCCGGCCGTCCTTACCCTGCAAGATGTGCATTCGGACCAGCTCGGAGCGCTCCGGCCGGCTGCGGATCTTGTGCTTCAGGAAGTTCTCGGTCTGTAGAGACGGGGAGAAACGGAGGGTTTTAGTGGGGGGGCTTCCGAGATCCCAGGATGCCCACACGGCACGCCGGTGCAGTTGGCGGGATCCTGCAGAGCTGGCACTTCAGGCCCTGAAACCCATGAATTATGTTCGGTCACTGGTTTCTGACAGCGGGGTCGATTAAGAAATGAAAGGTCTCGCAGATGGTCTGCAGGACCGGGTCCCCGACGTCCTGCCAGGGGCCGAGATGAGCTCTGTAACTGTTCGAGAGTTATCGACGTAACCAGCTCGGCAAACTCGGAGCCCTTTATCCTGCCTGCCGGGGCGTCAGACAGGAAAAAGAGTGTTTACGCTCACCTGTCTGGAGCGCCAGATAAAAACCTCGTCAGCATACGGTAGGTGTACTTAGGATGTCAGCTGAGCAGGACCTAGCAAAATAACGCAGTGGCATCTCTTCCATGTAATACTCATTTATACTAATGCGCCACTTACCAGGAGCAGCTGAGTAATAACCGAGCAGGGCCAATTGATTTGCTCGACTGGGACACTTTTGCTGGAAGACCTGTATGTGCTCCCACAAAGCCTTTGGATTTACTGTTCTCTGAGGAACGGTTTGCCGCTGGATCTCTCTTGATTACGATTACTTCCACTACAACTTCCAGGTCGGCTGGGACTCACCCGGGCTCTCTCCAGGCTGCGGATCTGCTCATGAAAAGCTGCTGGGCTCTTCAGGGCTGTGGAAGAGAACACACATTCACAGCCAGCCCGATTATCACCCACTCAGACCAGCCCATGCGGCCTCAACACTACAGCACCCGGCAAGGAAACCCACTGAGATCATAGGCAGGGGCTTAGTCAAAGCACGCGCAGAGCGCACAGGCTTCCACTGACATTCGTGCATCATTCATTAACAGAGGATTGATGGCTGCTGGTCTTGTTTTATTTTTGACAACACTGGACACATCATTAACTTTTAAGTTGATTTATTCATCAAATGAAAAAGAACAACTCAAAATACAACGTAAGCAAAAGGTGTGACACGATATAATGAGCCTACATCCAATTCTTCCCCATCTGACGAAGGCAGGGGAAGAAGACAGGCTGACCCTGTAGACTTCAGTGGCTGGTTAGTTATAATACCTAATCTTATAACTTTCAGGTTAGGAGAATGTGGTCTCCTGAATATGACGCGCTCACGGCTGGGAGCACAGCTCTTGAAGGAACAGCAGACTGGAGACGTTTTGAATTAATCAGTTTATGATGAAGTAATGCAGACTCCCAAGACTTTGCGCTCTGATTGGCTGGGAATGAGCTCAGCAGGAAGTGGTTTTCACGGTGGAAATGAGTTCATTCACATTACAAGTATCAGGCAGCGGTTGAGCAGGACCTTCGGCCCCAGGTGAGTCATTCTGCAACTGCACAGTCTGGCAACACAGGGGAGTTAGTCACCTCGCAACTGACTATCAGCCTGTAATCAAGGGCTTATCTCTACACTCACAGCCTCGCTCTATAAACAGCAGGCTGAACAGACTCACACACACATCTCTCACCCCCTCCCCCTGGCCTCCCTCAGGGTCGGGGGTGGAAGAGGGTCTGGTGCTGACCGCCCCTGGACCCTCCCTGCCAACTCGACACGAGGCGTCCGAGGATCAGAGCAGCCACTCTGATTAAAACACTGCAGGCCCGCAGAGGGAAATACCGAAAGCCTTGATCGGCAGGCAGAACATGCAGCTCTCCGGTGAATTTAAATCACCCACTGCGACAGTCTCACAGGGTCAGGATACTGAGCCCACTGCTGGCCACCCAGGTCTGTGAAGATGCCCCTTCGCTGCAAAGAAACTGATCATCCTGGTGAAAGTGAGAGCACACATACAGTTTCTCAGCTCAGCCTCGGCACCGACATCCACCTGGTACACGATGTAGTAACTCCCCTGTAAGACGGGGGTATAAACTCCGAGTGTGCGAGGGCGAGCACGGGGCCGAGCTGCCTGGAGTCTCCCCTGGCTGCACGAGGGAAGGAGCTGTGCAGAGCCCCACGGAGAGGGGCAGAGCACGGCAGCACGCGAGCACGGCTGCCAGACAGGAACCCGGCCAGAAAGCCCACAGCCGCAGCCGCCAACAACAGGAAGGGGCTCCGCCGCGGGGCCGCACCGCTGGAGAGCAACTGCTTCCCCTCGTGACCCCGGCACCAGCATCCGAGCAGCGTGCCTTTGTGTGAGAAAAGATGGAGGTGAGGGACGCCTGTCAGCGCAGCCGGGCCTTCAGCCTTCAGAGCGCGGTCAGGGCAGCCGCAGAATTATGCCCCCCCCATCGTGCAACACCTTCCTTTAACATCCAGCGACCCGCATGAACAACGGGATCCCTGGATTCCCAACTTCCCCGGAGCGAAAGGCCGTCTGACGCCCGTTCCTGCGCAGCGGTGTAGCGGAAATGAGGTGGAATTCCCTCTGCGACGTGATAATTCAGATCGCTCTGCGCCAGACGCGCGTCGAGGAGAGGCAGAGCAAGGGGAGAGTTTCAGTCAGGGCGAAACGTGAAGCGCGGACAAGGCAATAACCCGCGAGAGCAGACGGGCAGGGAGATCAGCCGCGCACACGCCGTGTCAGCTCGGGTCCAGAATAGGCGACTGAGCACGGTTTTGACTAACAGAGCAGAGGGAACATGGAATCAGTCCCCTGAGTTTGCTGAAAACAAATACTGGTACTCCTAGGGGTTGTGCCTCTGTAGGTGGAGCGTGCAGGCAGCTGCGGAGCCTGTGTACCTCCAGCACCCCCCCCACCGGGTCAGTACTCACGCGGCATGATGCCCTGGTCCACCAGCTGCTCCCTCGTGCGCCTCTGCTGCAGCCGGAGCTGGAGAACTGCGGGGAGGGAGAGAGAGGAAGAGGATGGTCAGCCTCTTTCAACAGAGCGGGCCGCCACCAGCGCACCGCCTGCCGTGCCTCGGAGATCCAACAGCCCGGTCGCCTCCCCCCGCCGTACGGACTGGGGCGGCCGCCGCTTTCTGAGAACAGGAAGTGGCCTGCGTTAACCCAGCGCGCACAGGAGACGGCAAGTGCACCCCCACTCCGCCAACCCCGTCTCCCCGCGCCGGGAAACCCAGGCGCTCGGCAAAACCCGTCCCACACACTTCCTGCTCGGCTCGCTCTGAAACTGTCGAGACAATACCAGCCGGCAGGTGAGAGAGGCCCCGAGCTGGCCAGCACTCCGACGCCGTTCAATAAAAAGGGATATTTCACACGCTTCAAACCCAGCTCCCGCTACAACGAGGCAACAAAAGCACAACACAGGACCAAAGGGATCACGGCCCTGACGAAGCAGAGCTTGCACGACTCTCCGGGCCTTTTCCGAATCGGACGATTTGTGGGATGGATCTAGACCGTGTTATTCAAAACTCCCTGTGATCTCTGGGTCAAAAAAAAAAAGAAGATGCCCGCTACTCTGCCCTGGGCGTGTCCGGGACAGCCCAGAGCCTAGCGTTTCTCCACCATGGACGACCGTGTCCTGGTATCACCGCGGCGAAAACGTCGCTCTGGTCCACGTCTGGGGGGGACCAAGCCAAGCCTCAAAGTGCACAGGGACCTAGGACTTCCCTCACCAGACTCTGTATCGCAAGCCCCCCTCTGCCTCAGATGCGTGAATTGGTTTGCAGCTGCAACAAGCAGCCTTAAAAAAAACTCCATGGGAGTTCCCGCGCGAGAGCGACTGCGGACAGCGAGAAGGAAGCCGCTCGGGCCTCGCCTGTAAATGTTTCTAAACACACCCAAGTGTGCTCGCGTGAATAGGGCTGAATGATGCCGATCCTTGCGCAGAGGCTTACAAACAAATCCCAGCTCTTCACACAGCAGCACAAGCGTGGCCGTGAGCGATGGGTCTCCCGCAGGAGCGTGCTGCAGTGATCCGTTCATCCGCTACCCTCCCCGCTGCAGGGCCCCTCGCGTCCTGGGGGTCCCGCGGCCCGAGCTGCCCGGACCGCTCCCTCCTCGGGGACTCCCGCCAGCCCCAGGCCCAGGACCCCAGGTCCTGCCGCAGGCTGCCGCACGGCGGGATCTGCTCACGCACAGCCCTACCGAGCCACGCTGGACCAAGCGCCTGCTGCATCAGCAACACGTGCCCCTGTAAAGGAGGGCTTAACACTCTCTCCGCTTCACACACCTGGGGAGGCCCAGGAGAAAGTCTCAGTGCCGACCTCCTCTCCCATCTCCCGTCCCGAACGCGCCCTACGGAGTCAGGGGGGGCTCTGGCGAGCCCCAGTCTCCGCCGGCTGGACAGCCGAGCACCGAGTTCGGCACCTGCGACCCGTTTGACGTCACGGCGTCTCGGCCGGCGCACACGAGAAGGAGACCCCCTGGCGCCCCCTGTTGGGGAAGAGGAGCAGCAGCCCCCTACGAGGACGCTCAGGCGGAGAGCAGGTTCTCTGCACCTGACCTGACAAAGGGTCTGTCTGTCTCGCTTCACGACACACTTCCTGCACACGGAGGGGCCTCTCTTCACAGGGCAGCCAGAGCAAAGCGGTACCAGCTGGCACTGCAAGGGGGCGCTGGCGCGCCGGTTCAGAGACACGACTGCTGGCAAGGGATATTACAAAAGGGTCAACAGGGTCACTGTTAAAGGCTTCACCTTCCACTCACAGAAAAACAATATACTATCCTTCAGTGCTGAAAACCCTGAAAAACAGCAACACTTAGAGAAATGAAACAGGAGCATCTAAGTCAAAAAACATTGAAAATTTGTCTTGTATGGTTACTGTGTAAATGCTGATAAAGTATAAAACTCTGGGTCGGACTACGACTTTTAAGGGTTTACAATAAGCATCTAAGCAATGACAGCAGTGTATACTGTCAGGAATTGCTGATTTGGGATTTTAAAGGGAACTGGAGCAAGGAGAGGGATTCTAAAACAGCACTAGCAAGTACATTAACATATATACAAATCCATTTTATCAAATAGTAATCAAGTGCCAGTCAGACTGAAATTTCCCTCCTGAAAAGTAACTCGACACACCTATCTGATGTCACCTGGTCTTTCAGTACGGGGCTGGCAGAGTTACTGCAGCAAAGCACAGCGTAAACATCCTTTCAGGTCAGGAATAACTGAAACACTAGCATACATCAGTTCCTATCACTTCTCCTGCTCTGAAACATAAAGGGCGCCGTTTTAATCTTTCATCTCTTCGACAGAGAACCACTCATGTGGCCAAGTCCAGCTCACAACTGAGCAGAAGCTCCTCCAGTCCAACACGTCCTGCTTTACAACTTCCCAGCCTTGAGCACCATTGCGGCATATTTCCCTGAGCAAATCTGCGGCTGACCGCATTGCAATCTGGCACGGGCAGAGAATGCAGAAGCATATCTAAAAGTCTTCGCAGAAAAGTGAGAGACCAAGGAAGACTCTCTGCCACAGGGCTGGCCTCACAGTGAGAGCATGGCAGACTCTGGGTAAAAAACATAAATAAGGAGGCACCTTTCCCCCATCAGTCTCGAGACGCAACCATGCTCCTTGCGTTCGAACCCGAGGTACTCGCATTCCTGCAACTCTTGCGTTGGGGCACAAAGTTCAGGCATCAGTGAAAAGAAGAAAGAGGAACATCAAGAGCTACCAGGAACATAAGCCCCTTCGAGTCCCTCAGGTGAAAGCAGTGAGCTCTGGCCTGCAGGAAGACGCAGAGAGCAGGAGGTGCACCTGAGGTGAATCTGCTTCTGCCGACGGTGTGGGTCTCCACTTCTAGGAAAGCCATCTAATCCAGGAGCCCGAGAGCCGCTGGGGCAAGTCCGCCCAGGGAGAAGAGGAGGAGGGCGAGGAGCTGGAGAGACTGGGAGAAGAGCCTCTGTCTGGAACATCCCTGATCCCTTCTGCAAGGCCCTGAGCAATGCCTCCCTCTTTGTCTCTCTCTGTCTCTCACTCCGTCTGACTGGCTGAAGAATGTGCACGCTCTCCAGCGCCGAGCCTGCGCCGCCCAGCCAGTGAGGGAGCCCGGGGGAGGGCTTTATTGAGCGGGGTGATGCAGTTAACCCTTGCCGGAGCTGGAATGCAGTGCTGTGCTCACTCAAGAGAGACATGGACAGAGCACAGCGCACCAGGCAGGGGGAGGTCTGAGCTGGAAAAGGCTGCTGTTTGCGTGCTCTGACACCCAAACCGTCTGAGTAAGATATCACCGGGGGGAAAAAGTACGCATTTTTAGCAGCAGTAATACAAGTCGAACAAACGTGACTTCAGCGATGTCACTGTGATTTGTCTGGAAGCAGTCACTGTCTTTCCTCCATCAGCTCATCCTGTTTAGACAGGACACTTTGAGGGAAAACAAAATATCTTCCGAGTCTTTCTGAAGTGCCAGAATTTTGTGCAATGGCTTCTTGTGTGGCCGGAGCACGCTGATTCAATTACTGCAAAGTCAAATAGAAACAGACCTACAGGGTGTCTGCACTCTCTTTCTTTTAAAGACAAACTATTTTGGGTTTTTCCATTCCAACACTTTTAACAAAAGCGGTATTTGTCTTTACGGTTAAAATCATAAACGCATGCAAGTTAAATGCCATGCCAGCAACATAACTGTGCTGCATAAAAAGGTAAGAAGGGACTGTACTGCCCTAACAGTAGCAGTGAATCCTTACCTTGGCTACCACTGCACACACAATATCTTTTGCCCTTTGAATAGAAACTCCCCATTTAGACGATGCAGGACGTTTGAAACCGTTTAATTTTTTTATGGCTTTAACATCCACGGGGATTAATTTACAAGCCGGTTCAGGCTGATATGCAAGGGAGGTAACACCTCGATCACATTAACCAATGCTCTGTCGAGGTGGAAGCACCACAGTAAAGTCAGTGTGTGCTGCTAAACCCAGAAAAGAAACGTGTGAAGGCCTCTCTTAATTTAAAAAAAACTCACGGTGCGTCTTTTTTCATCAGGATTTGCAGTCATAAAAACCGCTATCAGAGATCACTGCTTTCGACCAGCAGCGCTCGAAGCCAGAGGGAGAATCAAGCTGGGCATCAGACACAGATTACCTGCTAAGCCCAGGCCAGAGAGCCAGCGTAGCTTTATGCTAAGGGCTGCTCAAGTCCAGATTCGCTTTAAAAATTCAATAAAAGGAGATTCCGCTCCGAACCGCTGTGAAACTCTTGACAAAACAAAATGTCCCCCGAGGCCCCTGAAGCAGTGAGTGTTTTTAAGAAGACTTCTCTAGAAATCACAAGAACGGGGAGGGGTTTGGCCCTTCAAAGGGAAGCCCTCGTAATTTGACCCATGGGGCTGTCTGAGTCACACAGTACTCAGGTTGGAGGTCATTTTCCCAGAAGGAAGACAACGGGCGTTAGGGGGCGAGGAAATGAAATATTAAGTTGCTTTTAAGCTCTTTTATCCCTGGAGCAAAAGGATCTCCAACAGGTATATGGATCTCAAGAAATGGTTACACAAAATCAGGGTAAGAGGCCAAGAACCGCTACCAGTCCTGCAACAAGCAGAGACGCCTTTTCACACAGATGGGAGTGAAGCAGCAGCATGAGGTCACGCTTTTTGTTTTTACTCTGCAGGCGGACGATAAAAAAAAAAAACGCCGCCAAGAGCCGCCCTCGTCAGCGCGTCCGCGTCCGCGGGGGGGTCCTGCCCGCCGCGCTGGAATCGCCAGCCGGTGACTAACTCACCTTCCCGGAGCTGCGGGCTGTGGTCACTCAAGGCGGAGGCGGCCTGAGAAAACCGGCCCACGCAGAGCTGCGGCAGGCACACTTCCTGCCCGCGCGCACGCCGTGTCAAAGGAGCCCGCTAGACTCCCGCCATCCACTAGATAAGTGTGATTTTTATTTCTGGCGAACACCATTCCCTGGTAAAAAACGACCTTTATCGGCCATTACCCCCCCCGAGAAACGTGGACTCGACACCGACGCTGCTGTGACAACACAGGGGAGTGTCTCCGTCTGGCTGAACCAGGAATGACCTCAGTGCGCACCGGCGGCAGTGTAAACACTTTCAAGCATGGAGGACACGGGAAGCAGCCCAGACAGGGCAGCTCGAGCCCGTGGCTGCACGCAGAACCAAGATGGACCCCCGCAGGTCCGATAACAGAGACGGCATCTTCCTCACCCTACGCCTGTCCGGAGAGGACAGCTTGCAAGTCCTGCTTGATTTCAGCGATGAACGGCAGGCTGTGACAATGCCTGTCCCCAGCTAGGACTGTTCCTAACTTTCAAGCATCAGAAAAAAACATCTAAGGATTTACAAAAACTCTGACGTGTCCTAATCATTTGCATACCATTAGTATCATTGTCTCGTTTTTCTTGAAAAACACGAAGCTCTTTTAAAAAGGCATTTCTCTATACAGGGTGGTTATAAAAGCAATATTATTGATGTTGTTAATAATATACCACAATCATTCACACGTAGAAAGTACACATAAAATTACAGCCAAAATAATTCTGGAACAATGAAGCCCAGAAACCTTCTTAATATCACACGTGCAACACGAAGCTAAAACGCAGAGATTCACCCAGCAGAGCAGGAATCGGAATAAAGAGCAGGTCTCCCTGGACTAAGAAGGCTACAAGCCCAGACATCCCTATGTCCCGGCACTGCTAGTGATTGCGAGACGCCCTGTGATTAATGGGATTAATGGACTCTGGGGGCTTCAGCACTTAATCAGTGTGTCTGCTGCAGGGAACGTCGATCTCCAGCTGAGCGGCTCCGCACCCATTTCGCCTCCCTCCTCCACCCCGCGGCGCGACCCCCAGGCTCTGGCGTTCCCTGACCTCAGAGCCCAGGGCGGCCCTGCAGCAGACGCACCCAGGCCTGCGACCCCCGGGAGGCCCTGCACCCCCGAACACAGAGGGAGGAACCCCACAACACAGAGGGAGGGCACGCTTGAAGGGGCGTGCTGGACGCGACCTGCGGTCCTTCCACACAGGGGGACAGCGTGGCAGCACAAGGGAGACCCCAGCCCCCTCTGGAGCCAGTCTGAACTCGAAAAGCCCCCCCTGGCCTGGCTGCGGACAGCCGAGAGGGCCCCGTGTTTTCACCGTGGAAGTACGGGGTGCGAGGCCGGAGAGTGGTGGGCCCAGTCCGATCTCATTTCAGGGGCGAACAGGAAACCCCCTCTCAGCCCTCATACTTTTCACTCGGTGCTACAAGACTTATTTTACAGCTGTGACGTTCGAGGAATTTCTAAGAAGCCCTCAAGGTATGGGAAAAAAACCCGTTCTCTTGGCAAATCTGCCGTTCCTGCGAGCAGCAGAGGGGGGTCCAGGCAGGCAGTCTGATCTCCACCCTCTCTTCTAGAACGCCTGAGGGACTCTCCGCAAATGTCAGAGTGCCACAGAGCGGGTCAGCCTGGATGCTCCCTAGAGAGCCGCCACTGCTCCGTCTCATCGGGATTCACATACCGGGAAATCATTTCCAGACAGGCCCTGGCTGGGGCCCAGGGAATGCTGGGATTGTGGGAACCAGACAGAGCAGCCAATGGGAGGCTTGGCTGACGGAAGGTCAAAGGATTCCCAGGTTTAGCAAAGGTCAGGGAGGCAGCTAGGGAAAAGAAAAAATAAGCCCAAAAAACGAAAGAAAAATAACAGGAATAACACCTAGCACCCTGGGATCCCAAAAGTGCTCCTACAGCATTCCGAGCTCCACTGCAGCGTCACCGAAAGGCAGTCTGGGAGGGAGGCAGAGAACAAACAAGCCAACCGACGTGTGGAAGCACAGGGAGACGCTCTGGGAGGGAAAGGGTTAAAGCCAGTTCACTGAACCTTTCTAAGCTGCGCCAGCAAATTGGCCCCCTAGAGGTGTTGCATTATAACCCTCCACTCATCTCGAGTTCTCTGCTAATGAGGGAGATCGCCTCCGAGCGTGCATCTGGTCCGAAGGCGAGCGGTTCACATCAACAACGGAGCACAGCGAATCACGCAGGAAGTCCTTGACTTCAGCACTTCCAGCTGCCGAAGCAGTGAAGTGTGTGCGTGCGTCAGGACCTGACCCTCAGACACACTCCAGTGCAGGACCGGCGCACACACACAGGGAGATGGACGTCCAGAGAACATACACCCAGCACCCGTTTCCCGTGCGGGCGGACATCTGGGACAGCCCACGCCTCGGTCCCGCTTGCCGGAGTCCGTGCCGAGCAAGAGTCGGCTTTTCGAGAAGACCCAGGCAGGACAGGGCCAGACCAGCCAGCGGGAACAAAGTCACAAGTCCCTGGCGGCAAAGCGCCCACTCCCGCAGCAGCTGCGGTCAGCCGGACGGGCGGCTCGGGGGGGATACTTGCCGTTCTTGCGCTCGTCCAGGGGTGGCAGGTTCTGATTGGGCTGCAGCGACAGCTCCTCCAGCTCGTGGGTCACGGCCTCGCTCTGCGGACTGGGCGCCAGCAGGCCCAGCATCCCAGCATCCCCCTCTGCTCCCAGCAGCTCCCGGGGTTCCATCTCTCCTCGAGGGGGGGAGGGGAGGGAGGAGGGGGACCGTCTCCCCGGCAACGGTCAGCGCAACACCAGCGGCGAGTGCTCTGCGGGAGGACCGAACGGGGACAGCGGTCAGCGCGGTGTCCGCGTCTACGCCGCCGGCACCCTCGGGCACGTGACCTTTCCCCTTCTAGAACAGGAGCCCACCGGGGTACAAGTGGCTTTCGAGGATCAATTTAAGGCCGGCAAACTGGCTGCAGGCGTGTGGAGTTTCACAACAATCCCCATCAGGCATCACCTGGCTCGGGACGGTCCCAGACACCACTCCCAGCGCCGCTAAACGTCAACGGACGCGTGATGCGGGCATTTGATCTTTTGGGAAATGAGAGCCAGCTGTACCCTATTTTAAACCAAACAATCTAAGCAACGAGCTGCTTCCATTTTAGTGTAGACGTCACGCCAGCTCAGTATCACCACAAGCTTTGCTCTTTCCGTCTTGCAGCGAGCGGCGCAGCGACGGCAACTCCAGAGCAAACCCAAACCCTCCAGCGGAGAGCGGCGTCTGGCCTGGCATGTGCCACAGGCAGCTTCACTTCCAGTCTGGCGCCTGCAGTGGCTGAGGAGTCACCTCAGCGCCGCGAGCAGCTTCTCTGGGACTCCATTTGCGAGGCTCTGAACTGTACTCTTCCTGACTGCTGCCGTCCTGGCTCACCAAAACAAAAACCTACCTGACCGTCCCGTGTCAAGAGCGGAGACGGCTCTGGTCTCTCTCGCTCAGAGATCATCTACATGTCTGCAAAGCAACAGATCTCTTCCTGAATCAGAGCCCTGCCAAAGAAAGCACGGTCTCTGAGGTTTCTCCTGCAGCTGGATTGCTCAGGAAGTGATTTAGACAACGAGAGGCTCCAATCTGTCCAATACTGTCTCTAACAAAAAAAGAAACTGCTAACGAACTGGACGAACGCTGCAAATTCTCCTCACGGCAAATCTATTTTAAGAACCACACACCGTCCTGCTTTGCAAATAAAAAAACCTGTTTAGCACAGAAAAGAAAAGAAAAGGGAGCTCTTCTCCTCTGAAATCTAAGCCGTCACCAAAAAACACGCCTGCAGTCAGGAGAGGAAGAGAGCAGAGGTTAATTCCACACTGCAAAACAAGGAGAAAAATTATTTCCCTCTTGTCCCTCCTTCCTCCTCCACACCTGGGGGAAGGCTACACTTCCAAACTCTTGTGCGTTTTATTCTTTTCCCTTCTCGGCACGGAGTGAACCCCCCGTCTTTATGAAAAGAGAGGAAAGCCGCAGCCCCCTCCCCCCTGCCACCCGGCACAGCCCAGCGAGCCACATGTGGACAGGCTCCCAGGAAGAGCTCACAGCTGGCCTTCATGTCCCCTTGCAGTTAGCCTGTTTTTGTTTTACACCGGCGCAACACGCAACTTCTGCCCTCAAGGAGGAATAAAAACACAGCTGGTTGTTCATGGTTTTGTAACTTAAAAACGAAACTAGGAGAACGGGCAGCCCGTGCGTCTAGCCTCCTGAAACTCTGGAAACTTTCACTCCTCCCAGGGCACGTCCCGAGTGTCCCGAAGCCGGCGGCCGCTTCTCCTCACCTGCGGCGGAACGGCCTGCGCGGGCGGATGTCCGCTCCTTCTCCGCTCTCCCGTCTCTGCCCCCCCTACGGAGCGCGGCCCGCCTTCGCCGTGGGGAGCATCGGTCTGCAAGGAGAGGATCGCACGCTGGGTCAGGGACTCTCATCCTCCTCGTCCATCTGCGCCCGCCACCCGCTGTTCCTCCCCCTCCCCCACCGCGGACGTGCGCTTCCATCACTGCCCCCGTGCCAGGCCTTTCGGCGGCCCAGTTTTCAGGGCAACCGGACGGTTCGCCCTCTCTGGAAACGCCAAGGACATGCCGTCGCCCCGAGCGAACCTGGCCCGACCACTCAGCCCGGGTAAGGCGGGGGCGGGGCATCACTATAACTCACGCTGCGGTCACCCACACAGGGAGAGGGGTGAGGAGGCGGCGGGGGGGTTCAGATCAGATCATTCCAAGACCGTAAAGCATGCTTGGGCGTACCGCGGTGTGCAGCGGCGGTCCCCGATACACGCGCTGCATGATGAGCTTTGCTGTAATTAGCTGGCGAGTACAAAGCACAAAGCGGTGTGACCTGGCCTTGTCGGTGCTCTGCGGTAATCCCCTGCTGGGAGCCAGCTGAGAGAGGGAGAGGCCCCGGGGCTTTGACAGCAGCGTTAAAAACAGATAACGCTTCGTTAATTATGACATCACTCGGGCTTATCTCCCCAGGGGAGACGCAGCCCCCTCCCCCGCCTCCCGTCTGTGGCAGCTCTCGGCTGTTTTGACGTGGCGTCTCGCGGTCCGCCTGCGAGCTCTCTGGGTCTGCAGTCTCCCCCCGTCCCGGCTGGGTGCCCCGCCGATCTCCGCCGCCCCCGGAGGACCGCGCGTCAGAAGAAGCTCACGGCACACTAAAAAACATCTCGAGCGCCCCTTGTATTGAGATGGAGACATGGGGGGGGCGGGGGGGTCGCAGGATTAGCACGGATGTAGCCCCAAACTCTGCTTTGAAACCAGGTGATGGTTGACTTTGCGCCTCGAGGAGAAAGGATTAAGCTTAAAAGTATCAGACGCTGGTCCTGCTGCCGATTTCCGGCCCACGCCAACACGCTGCCTTGTGAAATAACGGAAAACACTCATCTGATAGGAATTGTGTTCGGGAACAATCCTACATTGCGCCGATCGTGCCTTGTGCAGTGAAGGCTCATGTACTCCAGGACAAGCTAGAAATTTACAAATGAAAACAGGAGTTCTCGGCAGAGAGATCCACCCTGACTATCCAGCTCATTGTTTTCCCATGAGCCCTCCGTGCCCACGACCCAGACGGCAACAGGACAGTGGCCACACTCCCCACGGCCCTGTATCTTACGTTATTAACCCAACCGGCGGCGAAAACCGCAACCGAGGCGGCACCTCCCGCAGGACGAAACAGGGAGCGTCCGGAAAGGCTGAGCTCCACAGCCGCTCAAAGAAAACTGCCCCCCCGACCTCACCCCAACGCTCGGCTGCTCAGCGGGCAGCAGGAAAGACCAAAGCGGAGGACACCTGCCTGGATCGGGAGGCTGCTCGACGCTCACGATGTCGGCTCTTTTCCCAAGGTCTGCTGCTGAACCGCCCGAGAGCTCTGAGTCACTGGCAGGCTGTGGAAGCATTCTTTTGAAGCACACATCTACTTAGACAGCAGCAAGAGCTGTTTGTTACCGTCAGCTCTTTTCTTTAAAAGAAACACTTCTGTCCCCCATGGTGGGGCGCCTGTCTGAACTGAGGGCACTTTCAGAGAGCCTGGCGTCAGCTATTCGCCTGGAAAGGGCCTTATTATGTTTGACCAAGTGCTGTGGGGTTGTTCTGGTAACCCTCTGGAAACAAACAGCCACCACGCTGATGCATCCCACTGCCAGGGTCCAGGAATCCTCTTCCCTGGAAAAACGACTGCTAAACAACAATGATCTAAGTTTGGTGGCATTTATTTCTGCTTGACAAGAAAACAAAACAACAACAACTGAGTCACAGAAAGCACTCTTCCTTGTCACTTTCTGGGCTAACCACGTAACAGGAATTACTAGAAACGTTGATCCCAAAAAACTGGCTAAACTCAAAAATTGAGCCCCCTGTGCGGTCAGCCTCAATCCTGCCCACACCAGCAGGGGACAGAGTCACCCCAGAGAGGATCCCGATTCCTGATCAGGTTCCCGGTTCCCGATCACTGGAATGACAGCTGGCTCTGTTGCACTGGCATGTCGTGTGGTATTGCACACTTGACCTGCCATAAATTTCCTCACGGTTTCACTGTATAATATTTCCTGCTGTAAACAGATAAAGATTCTGGCATGCACAAACCCGGCGTTAAGGTGACTCAGCTTTTTTTGCTCACCATCTCCTTTATCATTGCCAGTTTCTATAGTTTAATAAAAGCGATAACACTCGAGATTAATTTAAGTTTGTATAACAAGCTGTGTGGTAAATAAAGTCACACTGACGTAACTCAGATTTACACTGATGTACGGGGCTGTTCGGCACAAGATCGCAGTCATGTGAATTTAGGTCCAGGACTGCTGACAGGCAGCAGTCTACCTCCCACTACACAGCAGGTAGTGGTGTACTGCTCTGCCAGGAGAGAGCCGAGGCCGACTCTGTGCCTGCAGTGATCTGGGCTCCACGCTGCTGCTGCCAAAACCCATTGTCACAGGAAATTAAAGTTTAAATCTCTCTAGCTCTGCTCCAGAGAGCCTTCCATCTGCTGCCGATCAGCCTGGCGCTGGTGTCAAGCCCATCATGCACCGGGGCGCGGCAGCAGGACGCGTCTGGCTCTGTGAATCAGTACTCCAGGAGTGACGCAAGGACATGAAGGTTACAGACGAGAGGAGGCCGTTCCGATTGCCTGGAACTGTCATTCAGATCCCCGGATCTCATTCTGCCGATTCTTGAAAGAAGACAGGGTTTCGGCTTCAACGGCACGGCAGGGCGGCTTGTTCCACGCCCCCGCAACCTTCTGCGTAGATAAGCGCCCCCCCCCCCCAATTCCAAACGCACTTCCACGTTGTTTCCGCCCGCGCACTGTCCTAAACGAAGCCTCACGAGTGCATCATGCAGTTTTAACGATACACCCTCACATTTCGTTTGCCTTTTTGATTTTCCCCAGTGCATTCCGGAAACCCCCCCCCCCCGAGATCGAGAAAGCCTGCAGCCACGACAGTCCTGGCAGGCACTGGGCACAGGAACGGGAACGCCTGTTGTGGCTCTGGATGTTCTCACATGCCTGGGCAGGACAACCCACAGTCCTCGTTGCCAGATCCTACCAGCTTTCAGCTTCAGCCCTCCGTTCCCCCAGGTCTGGCTGGGCTCCCCGGGCCTCACAGAGGAGACGCAGAGCCACGGCCCCCCGAAAAGTCACGACCAGCAACGCGATCGCATCTGCGCTAAGAGAAAGTCTCTAACGAAAGAGCTGCATCCCATCCTGCGCGGGAAACGGGAACAAACTCGCGGCCAATCTCAGGCCGCTTCGCCCCTGGCAGTGACGGACGGGTGTGCCTTACATACCGCTCGGTCACATACTGCCTGGCATTCGGACCAGAAAAGAGGGCTGCAAGTCAGCCTTTATAAGGGCCGAGGGAGGGTGCCGCTACAGTCTCGTTCATCACGGCCGGCGGCCCGCGCGTGCGAAGGACCCGCGCTGCCCGGGGCTGATGGGATTGTGGGTACGGGCGGGTGGGTGGTCCCATGAGGAAACCGCGTGCCGAGAGGAGCCTTTCACTGGGTGGATACACCCGCACGGGGCTTCAGTTCTCATACTGGCCCCTCAAGCACGAAGGCCTCAGTCAAGGCAGGCGCATCTGGCTTAGAAGACATGAAGAGGGCTCCTACCGCTGCTTTCGCCAAGCGACACCCTGTCGTTTCAAAGGGATCACACAGGAACCCTGCGCTCCACGACTCCACGAGTGCAGGTCCCCTCGGGCAGCCTGCGAGAGGCTCAGTTCGACGCACAAGGGAACACGTCTTTCAATTTGCAAAGCAAAAAAGGCCTTTTCTTCAACGCGATCCCGACTCTAACCGGTTCGCGGTTCAGGGGCTCAGAAAGAGGGAGACGCATGAAAATGAGCGCCGAGGCTGCCAGCGCCGAGCTCCCTCCCCCTCGGGGGTGGGGGCACCAGGCTGGTTGTGGTGGGGCGCAGGGAGCGCTGATGTTAAACACATGGGGGACAGCACTGCCAGCAAGGTGGTCGGCCCTCTCGGGGGAGAAGCTCGTAAACAAAGATAAAAGCAGCAAACTCAGCCGGGTTTCCATGGCGACGCCTCCTACTAGTGGATGGGACCTGGACCGCTGCCATGGCAACTGTGCAAGGCTGGGTGTCGCTATGAAAAGCGGCAGGCTGCGCCGGGGGCGTAAACAGAAGATTATCCCAGAGCCTGGAGAGCATCCTCTCAGAGACATCCGAGCCAGTCCAGGGCTGCCGAAGGGGCTGGGGGAGCGCTGGGTAAGCTCAGTTTCAAGGGGTAACAATGCCCGAACTGTACGTTTACCCGCCTGGCAACCCTGAGGATTAAGCAGCAATCTTTTCTTTAACGCTGCGAGTTGAACAGACCTACAAAAACAGTAAATGATTAGAAGAGTGTAACCTGGGCTCCACTACCCAGACTCCCGGCACGGTACCCAGCACAGAGAAAACGTCTGGAGGTCATCATCCTGCAGTCAGGTCAGAGGTCAGGGGGCACGCAATACCGCACAAGACCTGCCTGGTTCTGCCCCCTGTGATGCACACTCAGGAAGGCCTCTCCGGGTCTCTCAGCCCTAGCCGTGCCAGCCTGACGTCACCTCATGTCCACTCAAGCTGCGACAGTGCCCCTCTCCAGGCTCAGTAGAGCCCCTTGCTGGGCGATCTGCTGTCCCGTCTCGTTGAGCGAGAGGATTCTGGACCAGTCACCCAGAGACCTCGCCCTGCCACACACACACACACTGTGAGCGGCACTGGGACAGAGGCTCCGAGCCTGGGAACAAGCTGGGGGTAAGGGGTTAACACTCTGATAGGAGGGGAACAACGCAGGAAGTGTGGCAACTAGCAACACGACTGGAAACAATCACTGCAGCTATCCTGCCTGACACAGGTTGTTTCCATGCAGCTTTAAATCATTAAAATAGCTCCAATTCTCT